CAATTGACTTAGTCCTCAGAAAGGAAGGCACACTGCTTTCATTTTTTTTTCCCTTTGAGGATGTCGGGTGTCCTCATTCAGATGTCCTAGGTTTGAAGATGGTAAGAAACTTAAAGATACTTTATGAGTAGAAATGATCTCTTGGTCCCAGATCTGGACTTGACCCCCCTGCAGTATCACCTTCTAGCATCCTTCCCTGAGAACTCTAAGTTATACTTTGCATCTGCAAAGTTAACTGAAAGGATCTAACTGGTAAGACTATGAACTGTCCTCTAAACCTTCAGTGGCCTCAGGCCGCTGTCTGAACTGTGATTTCTGTCTAGGAGGGACCTTTGAAAAAATCACCAATCACCCAGGAATAGTTATTGCTTCTGACAACACTTCCTACTAGTGATCTCGTCACAGCAGGCACCTTGCTCCTACATGCTACCTTCACTCAGGGTACCTCATCCTCTGTCTACATGGTGTAACATATTATTAAAAGTTGATTACATCCTTGTATGGTTTGTCATTCCATCAAAGCACAAAAATGTTTTCTCAAAAGTAACATAATCAGTGGGTCCTGGGGATGGATCTGAATGCAGACATGCCTGGGTTCCTATAGGTTCTTAGCTTATGAACACATTTATCCAGTAAGTAACTCAAGTTTATGGAATAGTAGAAAAGTCAAAACCAGATTTAGTTGAAAGTCAAGGCTCCTTATTTTGTTTCCTATATAGCATAAGTTGAATCCCTCTTTACTTCAGTCCATAAAACATAATTCTCTGGTTTCTTCACACACTGGAAATGAAACTAGTTCAAAATTGAGGGCAAGGCACACACCTCATATTGCTGTAATATGGCTGCTTTCTTTCATTAAAATCTCTGACTCATCTACTCCTCATATTAGGAGATCCTATAAATAAAATGTGTCCTGAAGTGGAAAAAAAAAAAAAAAACAAAGAAAGGGGAGAAAGGTGGATAGAGAAGAGATAGCTTGGGCAGGAGTTGGGAATATTTGAGTGAATATAATCAAATGACCCACTATGAAATTCTCAAAGAATTAATAATAAAAAGAAAAAAGAAAAAAGTGAGCTCCACAGTATTAATATTTAGATTCTCTCATACCTAGAAAGCACTAATTTAATGGAAATACTTAATTCAAGAGTTACAGTCCAGGTATTCAGTGTGTTCAAGACTCACAGATGAAATCCTCTTTCGCAGGTGATTTTGCTTTGGAATCTGTGGGATCTGGTATGGATGACTTATTTCAAAGATTTGTCACTTGAGGGCATACCTCTCCGAGGATTTAGTTTTTCCTCACTCATTGGCTTATTCACTCTCTTGGCTTCTGTCTGTCATAAGGTGAGAAGCTTTGTCACAGAGTCACTTCCATATGGTGCTGGTTTTGCAGAAATGGAGAATCTATCAACTATGGGGTCATGAATACTTCCCCCGCAATCTCAAATTAGTGACTTTGTGTCCACATAGGATACATGGTGTGTTTGAAGTCCCTATCAACAGTTTCTGAGGGCAATAGATAGATTTCTGAGATTGAAGGAAAGGATACAATAAATTTGTCTATGGCTAAAAAGATGCCATGAACATAGAATATCTTTAATGAAAACTCTCAGCAAAATGTGAAGCCAACCCAAGACAGATAACATGTGGGTACAGAGGACTAAGACATCACTTTAGGACTTCTGAAGCATGTATGTGTTCATGTTAACCACTTTGTGATAGACATAGAGCCCCAAGATTTACTTACACTGCTTAGTTATGGTCTTGCTTTCATTCACTTCCTGCTTGGAATATTCCTGTATGCTCTTTTAGAAATATGAATGTTCACCATTTTCCATTGTTTTTTGTAAGTATGTAGCTCATTTTTTTGTTTTTCTCCCTTCTTTCCTTTTTGAGATCTGTATATGTAGCATAGGCTAGATCCATAAATATCCTCCTTAGTGTCTCAAATTTCATGATTACAGCAATTTAACACAATACCTAGCAGCCTCCTTTTAAAGCTTTTCTGTAACATTGCAACTAAAGTCATGTTTATGTTTCACATGGGGGGGACAGGGGGGTTGACTTCACCTTTTATGAAATGCAGGAGCTGTAAGGAGTGAGGGCATCTTAAATTATCTCAATACATTTTGCTTTGTAAGGCAAGCATTAGTGTAAGGGACAGAATGTTAGAGATTGAATCTATAGTGTTCTCCCTAATGCCTGTGTTGAAAACTCAATCCCTAATTGATTGTACTACTAGTAAGAGGAAGAAACTAAGAGATTGGATTTAGTAAGGAGAAGAAAGTCACTTCAGAGTGCTTTTGAAGGATAGGTTTTGTTCCTAACACTTGGCATATAATCTCTCACTGTCATTATCAATCTCCTTTTTTCTTTCCTTCTTTGAATGAAGCTGAACTACATCACATGTCCTCTATCACCATGCTCTGTCTAATCACAGCCCCCAAATAATACATGTTTAGGCACCTAGGATTCTATGAGACAAAAGAAACATGTCCTCCTTCAAACTCGTCTTTCAGGATTTTTCCCCACAATTATTTACATCTAGCAAACAAGATTTTATAGCCAAGACTAATTCTGGAACTCTCTCATCTTAAAGTAAAGCTGTTATCTCTTGTCCCAATGATACCAACTGATAAGAAAGCTAGAAATGTTGGAGTATTAAGGAAAGCCACATACACAAAATGTCAAAGACAGTGTTTTCCATTAGTTTTACATGAATAAATGCCAATATTGTCAGAACTGATTCAGAAAACAATTTTCTTACAGCTCTGGAGGTCAGTAGTCTCCCAAAGTACACTCAAATAAGGAGAATTTCTTGTGTCTTCCAGACTTCAGAGGAGGGAATCTAATGCTAATGTTTATTCTTCAGAGATACTACATTATTCCCTGAACAATGAATGTTCACTACCTCTCAGAATTCTGATAACTTTCCATTGCAACCCCCACTATATACAGCTCAATGTCCTCTCTCCCTACATGAATAGCATGTGTTTTTATAGTGATCTCACCTACATACTTCAGAATAATCATTCCATCTCAAAATCATTAACTCAACCATACGTGACAAGTCTTTTGACATGTAAGTTGAAATTCATAAGTTCTAGAGTAGACTTAGATAGTTATGGGAAGGTTCAGTGAGATTAATTATTTCTCAACCAATAGTATTATTATCTTATTAAAACCTGATCTTTTTGAAGAAGGAAAAATCAGAAGGCTTATTTATTAACCAACAGAGTAGAAGACATCAAGACCTACTGATATTTGTACACTATGTATGCCAGTTTCCTAAGTAGTTATTGAAATTGTTTTAGATAGCAGCTATGCTCACCACTGTACCATCAACACACACTTTCTTAAAATGGTATAACCCAGAATCATCATCATTGAGTCATAAAAGATTTAGTTCAATCTAAGGTCCATTGATAAAGTTGATTGTTTCTGGAATTCCCTTTATATGTGCATATATCATTAAAGGAGTGGTAAGAATTCATATCCAAGATGTCCTGCAAAATAATGATTTGCTTGTTGTTTTAGGTTGAGAGGAACTGGCATCCTCATCATCTGCTGAAGTGTGCTGAATGAGGCTTCCTCCAGATCGTGGGGTAACTTGTGAGAAGGAAGAACTGTTTTCCAAGCCTCAAAGATCAAAGAGATACACAGATGCAGCTCTAGATATCAGCAGAAAGAGAGTGAGGAGAAGAGGCAGGAAAGCTAGTAATACTATTAATACAGCTCAAAGCTGGTGTGTGGTACTCCTGATGGGGAAGATGTCAGGTACCTTGAACAAGCCAATTCATGGCTGGCTGTTTTTCACACCGATCACTCAAGTCTAGAAAATCAACTGGGTCAGGCTCAGGCTGTGAAACTGTCTGTCCTTTCATAGTTAGGATTTCTAAAGATCCCAAGGTTCCTCTGTCTCCAGGACAAGAGTACTGAAGACCTAATAGATTCAACCTTCCATAATGATAAATAAGGCTGTACAGCCAAAGACAGAGACACTGGTGTGAGATTTGTGGTATTCAATTATTTGTGTTATGAGGATGCATGAACACTTCTGCATCTTAGTTTGGAGACAGAGACACACTGCAGACAGAGAGGCTATTGCCTGCATAAGTATGATATCTATTGTTAATGTTCAAGAGTGAAAGGTAAAAATATAATTTGTAATACACAGCAGAGCTATGTATTGAGTAACAGTGCTTTCTGTTATATTATTCAAGTCTGTTACTATTCAGTCCTTCATGCTGAGGAATTGTGGAAATATTATCAAATGGAAGAAAAGTGGGATAACATGAAGAATCTTAAACTGAGAAGAAGGTGCATTCAGTCTCTGGGTATCAATGCACCTCCATTTTCACATGGAGTCAGAACACCAGGTGGCAAATGACACATGTTGTTGAGATTGAGTTGTTATATGTGCTTCTATTGTGTATTTCCCCATTTTGTACTTTAGTAGGCATGGATAAGACTGATAAGTCTTTCTTTTTTAATTAATTAAAAATAGTTGTGATTAAAAAATTATGCTTTTAACCTAAAGAAATGACTACTCCAAACTCACAAGCCCTTCAAAAGGAGAATATAGGTTATTTTTTTAACCAATAAGGATTATTACATTGGAGTTAAGATTTAATAGTACTTTCTCTGTTGTATGTTCACTAATAACAGGAAATTCTTTTATATTCCTCCAATATATCCTTGAAGTATATAATTCAAAATTGAGCCTATGTATAGTAGAATTTTCAAGTAATCTCCAAAATGTCATCTATAATTTTAAAACCTTAAAAAAGAAATGCAGTCTCTGGAGGCATATGTGTGGTCTGACCTTGGTCATCTTGTGGACACGGTGCTTATGCTCAGTTACTGAAATGAGCAAGCCTTGCAGCTGTACCCACCCTAACTGGTTCCCAGTGATTTGCATGCACTCACTGCACAGCCTTGAGGACTTCTTCATATACCAGTCACACCCTGTACAGTTGTCACTGCAGTCAGGACTCAGCATGGACATGAGGGCCCCTGCTCAGCTCCTTGGACTCCTCCTGCTCTGGCTTCCAGGTGAAAAGTGACTAAAATTGGAATTTCACTGTTACATGGTGATTATTGTTGACTGAAATTTGAAGGAAGTTTTTTCTTATCATGCTTAACTATGTGGCTATTTATTATGTCTCCATTCCTAGGTGCCAGATGTGACATCCAAATGACCCAGACTCCAACCTCCCTGTCTGCCTCTCTGGGAGACAAAGTCACTATCACTTGCCGGGCTAGTCAGGATATTAGCTATGCTTTAAACTGGTACCAGCAGAAACCAGGAAAAGCTCCTAAGCTCCTGATCTATTACACAGATAGATTGGCAGGTGGGGTCCCATCAAGGTTTAGTGGCAGTGGGTCTGGGACAGATTATTCTCTCACCATCAACAGCCTGGAGTCTGAAGACACTGCAGCTTATTACTGTCTGCAAGCTGCTAACAACCCTCGCACAGTGATACAAGTCATAACATAAACCCACATGGAAGGAGAAGTGAGAGGTTGGACTGTCCCTGCTGCCCCTCCTCATGAGTCACGTATTGAAACAGTTTTTCAGATGTCACAAGATTTTTAGCAAAACTCTAGAGAGACATTTGTTTTGGTAGTAGGAGCTAAACAGTCCTCTCTGTACCCTATCTTTCTTTCTCTTCATCTCCAGCAATCCAGTTAATCAATGACTTTTCTGACTTCACAAAGCACACAGTCATTCCCTGCAAGAAGACTGTGTTGTATCCCTACCTGGTATTCATCAAAACAATGGAAGTTTCTGTGAACATTCCAAGCACACATTTTTTAAATACAGAAAATTAGTTCTAAGTGCCAGTATTTAAAGGGCAGAGAAATATCACTTAGAGAAGCTGACAGCAGAAAGGATTCCTGGTTTTCTCAGAGAAGCTAGAGCACATGTCTCAGAGAAAGGGAAGATTGCCTGACCATGATCCTCTGCGGTGTCTTGAAATTGCAGCAGCGGATATTGATGCTCTCAGCTGCCTGCAGCATTTCACATGAGATTCAATGAAAATCCCCAGGTTGAGCCAGAGTATTTTGGAGTTTATTGCTGTTTTCAAGGTTCACATGGTCCTTCCACATTGACACAGTTCCTTTTCTTGGAATGGCCCAGCTGCCAAATGTGTTCTTTGTTGGATGAGGAGTACAGCACATTCCACATCTGTGTGAGATGATGAAGAACTCAGGATAAACATTTGTAGCTAAGAGCTCTGCTGGCCCACCAGTGTTTCAAGTGCCACCCATTTCCAGCCAAGTAAACTGCTACAGCATGGGCATTGCTTCTGCAACATGATGTGTGAGGTTTTCTCAGCAAACAGGACCTGTAGGTGAAATTCTAAACAGTCTTAGTAAATAAGAAACACAGAGCCAAATACAGAGGAAATAGCCAAAAAGGTCAGAGAGCCATGACTACCTTATCTTAGCACCTCGCTGCTGTCTCTTCCCCAGAGAGCACTTCTTCCTTCCTGTCTGATTTGTCTTTTTATTGCCTTACTGTTCTGCCTTCTCATTGGCTCTAAATACAACCACATGACTTCCTTGTCACTGCCTGTCTATACAGACCTCCAGGTTTCTATGGTTGGTACTGGGATTAAAGGTTTGTGAAACCACGCTTGGCTGTGTCCTGGACCACACAGAGACTCTGCCTGCCATGTGATTGGATTAAGGGTGTGTGCTACCACTGCCTGACCATGCTTATGGTTTGCTTTGACCTCTGATCTCCAGGCAACTTTATTTATTAGCATACAAATAAAATCACATTTCAGCACAAATAAAATATAACCATAAGGACCAGCTGAGGTAAAGCTGAATCAAAGTTCACCCTCATCCAACATGTCTCCCTTGCTCAGTTATTCAGCATCAAAGTAACTTAAAATATGTTCTAGTGAAATTCACTCCTTTTCTGTTATGTACACAACATATTTGTCTCTGTTTCAGTATTTAAATTCCATTTTAGCAAATATAAATGCATATATCCACCTCCCTTTTGTTTTCTATTTATGAAATATATTCTTCTTGCCCTAAATTTCATACTGTGTCTCTTTCAATTGATGCAAGGATGTAACCTCAAGCTGAAGGTTGAAAATTCCCTATGATCTCTGTATGCAGACATCACATTTCTTTAACTAGTGAATCTAAGATTATTACTTGGGAAATTAAAATTTTAGTACATTTTTCATCCGTGTGATATTATTTTTTTCAACGTGACCAGACAAAGATTTTCTCCAGCTCTCTACCCTCAATTCACACAAATTTATAAGCACAATAATATTTGAAATGGGACAGTGTTATTTAAATTCTTTAGAGCAACTGTGTCCCTTCCTTTAGTCAACAAACACAAATCTTGTGATGCTATTGATTATAAATAAAGTGAATCTCAAAGCATGTGTATTGTTTATGTATATCATTGACCAAATTATCAGAGAGAAAAAAAATAAAAGATTCACTTATTCCGTGGCACAGATTCCCTTATTCAAATCAAATCAGGCTACCCAAGTCTCATACCTTGACATAAGAAGAGTAAATGCATAGAATCTGTCCAAATTTGGAGGTCTTTAAAGGGATGAGAAATGTATCCCACTGTTAGAACTGGGTATGCAGTAAGATTCGCTTAGTCACTAGCAGGTTTTTAGTTGCATTGTTCAGAGCACATTCATAAAAGGTTTTCTGGCTGCCAAATATGTAAGGTGTATGTACATATCCCAAACAAAGTACAGTTCCAAGTTGTTAAACTAATCCTTATGTTTACCTATTTCAAAGCCACCATATCCTTGAAACATCCTTAAGAGACTGAAATTGGAGGATGTCTAACAAGCTGATGGAGGGTTACTTGTGGAGGGGGCAGGGCGACTGGTACCTGAAGTATAGTTCTCTCTTTATTGGAACAAAAGGGACAGGATTAGCCTTGTCTTAATGTAGATGTAACCAACCATCTTATTAAATAAGAAACACAGAACCAATGCAAAGAAGAAAGCCAAGAGATCAGAGCTAAGAGCCAAAACCTTACCCTTCCTCCTGCGGTGGTCCTACTTCTCTGAACCAGAGCTACGTCCTGTTTGTCTTTTTATAGTGTTTCTGTTCTGCCTTCTCATTGGTTGTAAACCTAACCACATGACCACCTCATCACAGCCTGTCTGTATAGACCTCCAGGTTTTCTATGATTGGTATTGAGATTAAAGGCATGTGTATCCAATACTGGCTGTATCCCTGAACACACAGAGACTTACCTAGCTCTGCCTATCAAGTGCTGGGATTACAAGCTTATGCCACCACTGCCCTGCTTTCCTATCGCTTGCTAATAGCTCTGACCCCCGGGCAACTTTATTTATTAACATACAAATAACATTTAAATAAAATACCACCACATTTTAGGGTTTCTATTGTTGTGAAAAGATACCACGACTATGGCAACTCTTCTAAAGAAAGACATTTTCTCTTCCTATCTCACCCTTTTTCCTCTCCCTTTTTTCCATGCTCCCAATTTACTTATGAGTGAGTACATACCATATTTGTCTTTCTGGGTCTGGTTTACCTCACTCAGGATGGTTTTTTGTTTGTTTGTTTACTTGTTTTTTCTAGTTTCATCCATTTCCTGCAAATTTCATATCATTGATTTTTACCACTGAGTAATACTCCATTGTGTAATTATATCACGTTTTCTTCATCCATTCTTCCACTGAGGGGCATCAAGGTTGTTTCCAGGTTCTGTCTATTATGAATAATGCTGCTGTGAACATAGTTGAACAAATGTCCTTGTGGTATGAATGTGCATCCTTTGGGTATTTACCCAAGAGTGGTATTGCTGGATCAGGAAGTAGATTGATTTCTAGTTTTTTGAGAAACTACCATACTAATGTTCAAAGTGGCTATACAAGATTGCACCCCCACCAGCAATAGAGGAATGTTCCCTTTACTTTACATCCTCTCCAGCATAGGCTGTCATCAGTGTTTTTGATCTTAGCCATTCTGACAGGTGTAAAAGTATATCTCAGAGTCATGTTGATTTGCATCAACCTGATGGTTAAGGATGCTGAGCAATTCTTTGGGTATATTTCGGCCACTTGAGATTCTTCTGTTGAGAATTCTGTTTAGATTTGTAGCCCATTTTTGTTAATTGGATTATTTGGTATTTTGATTTCTAGTTTCTTGAATTATTTATGTATTTTGGAGAACAGCCCTCTGTCAGATGTGTGGTTGGTAAAGATCTTTTCTCATTATGTAGGCTGTCGTTTTCTCTTATTTACCATGCCCTTTGCCTTATAGGAGCGTCTCAGTTTCAGTAGGCCCCATTTATTAATTATAGCTCTCAGCGTCTGTGCTACCAGTTGTATATTTAAGAAGTGGTCTCCTGTGCCAGTGCATTCAAAGCTACTTCCCACATTTTCTTCTTTCAGATTCAGTGTACCTGAATTTATGCTGAGATCTTTGATCCACTTGGACTTGAGTTTTATGCAGGGTGATACATATGGGTCTATTTTCATTCTTTTACATGCCACCATCCAGTTATGCCTGTATAATTTGTTTGACAGAGAGAGAGAGAGAGCTAGAAAGGAGATATATTGATAGAGGGAACCATTATGGGGTTAGGGAGAAACCTGGTGCTAGGGAAATTCCTAGGAATCTACAAGTATGACCCCAGCTAAGACTCAAAGCAATAGTGGAGAAAGTGCCTGAAATAGCCTTCCTCTGTAATCAGATTGATGACTACCCAAATTGTCAACATAAAACCTTCATCCAGTAATTGATAGAAGCAGATGCAGAGATCCACAGCTAAGCACTGTGCAGAGCTCCCAGAATCCAGTCAAAGAGAGGGAAAAGGGATTACATGAGCAAAGGGGTCAAGATCATGATGAGGAATCTGACAGAGATAGTTGACCAGATCTATTTGGAACTCACTGACAGCTGGAGAACCAGCATGGTACCAAACCATTCCCTAGTTGTTTGGCTTAGGCAGTTTGTGGGGCCATTGGCAGTGCGTCCAGAATTTATCTCTAGTGCATGAACAGGCTTCTTTCAGCCCATTCCCTATGGAGGGATACCTTGTTCAGCCTCAATACAGCAGGGAGTGGCCTTGTCCTGCCTCACCTTGGTATGCCAGACTTTGTTGACTCCCCACGGAAGACCTTACTCTTTCTGAGGAGTGGTTGGGAGGTGGAGTTGGGGGAAGTTGGCAGACAAGTGTAGGAGGTGAGTGAAGGGGAATTGTTTTTGACATGCAAAATAAAAAAATCTTTTAAACAATAAAAAGGAAAAAGATTTAATTGTGGTGGCAGCTTACAATTCAGTTCAGAGGTTCAGTCCATTATCATCATGGCAGCGTGTAGGCAAACATGGTGCTGGCTACATCTTGATCAGAAGGCAACAGGAAGTGAACTGAAACACTGCACAATATCTTGAGCATATATGAGACATCAAAGCCTGCCTACAAATGACAAATTTCCTCCAATGAGACCATACCTACTTCAGCAA